CTCCAGTTATGTACTTCGAGCTAAGCCCTCGACGGAAATGGGCGTGGTTTGGGCGTGGTCGGGGCTTAACTCGAAAGGGCGTGGTCGGGGCTTAACTCGAAGGGCTTAACTCGAGGGGCTTAACTCGAAGATTTGCTACCCCACTCAAGATAGACTTCTGCTAGTATTGTCTATTCCGTCCGAGCTCTGTCTGGCCCGTGTATATGTAAATATCTATAACCCCTTACGCCTAGCGATGTACGTAAATTTATATTATTCTTTTCAATATTTATTTACCGTAAATTTTGAGATAAGTTCAGGGGCATACAGCGCACTCAGATTTATATAAGTTAGCATGACATGATGTATTAAAGTTAGCAGATTTATATAAGTTAGCATGACATGAAGTATTAAAAAACCAAAATATCGTCGAGTCATCAAACAATCGTTTAGTCAACCAACCAAGTAGAATCCCAATTCTCGATAACTGCCAGACAATTTCAGAATCACTATATAGGAAGCAAGTATTCTGATGCGCAGTTCAGCAAAACTTAGCTATATAATCACAATCACTACACATATTTGATCAAAATAATATCTTGATTATTTAATATCGACACAAAATCACTTAATAATGTACGCAAGTGTGAATACTATGCCTTCAAAAATATTCACACAATATTCAAACGTATTCTAGGTGAGAATATGAGGTGCGTTTTATTCTAAGGTATTCACATCTGAATACTACTAATATTCCGAGGATATTCGCAGTGAATATCAGTGAATACGTGTGAATATTCATCATATTCAAATTGATATTCGCACGTATTCACATCTGAATACTTGGCTTTTCATGCAGTGATTATTATATATAAAACGTACAAGACCGTTCATGTATATCGCATATTGTCTATTGTAGATTACTTCTTACAAAATTAGGAAAATTGTGTAATTAAAATTATGACCATCAATATGTTGACGCATGTTATAACAGGCTTTCCCTATACCTCCACAAAATAAATTCATGTGAGATTTAGTCTTTTCACGATTCACGTTGATGCAAAAATCGAAGCAGTCAGAATTCGCATAAATATTAGCGAAATTTATTCTGCATAACTGCGTTGCCGTCAAATACTTGCTGGGTTGAACAGTTGTTCGAAGCTCGACGTCGTCTTGGTCACGCGAAACACAATCAAAAACAAACATGGAAAACAAGAGGAATTCCCGAAATTTCCCTAACCTCTGAGTTAAGCTCGCTGCTGTAGGTCGAGTGTATATTGCATTTTAGTTGGTTTGGGTATCTCTTTTTGGTACATGAAAACTAATTTAAGCCGAGGAATTGGGTAAAGAGCCGAATAGTAACACATGCGTATAGCGTTGCATGGAAATCTTTGTTAATGGATATCCAACGCACCGTACCTTATTTGAAGGGCCAACATTCTTTGAAAAGCCATCATGCAGTTGATCAGTTAATTATGCCTGACTTAGTGCCAGAATTTTTACTCCATAAGATAGACATGTTCATAGTGTAACTGGACACGCGTCGAACTTCATATAAGAATCATTTAGTTAACATTACGTAATGCTTTCGCGCATATGCGCAGTGGAAAAAGTAACTTGTGCTTGTAATCACGCTTTTAAACAAACTTAAGACAAAATGTGAAATTTATATTAAAAAACACAAAACAACACAAATTATCTCTTCCTGCACCGTTGGCGTATCTAGTTATTGGTCCTTCGGAACGGATTCAACGTCTGAATCAGCGAATATCGTCGTCTATCGATTAGACACGCATCAATATGCCTGTGCTAGAAGAGCGAGCAACGTTTGTACATAAAAGAAGCCTTGTTAAACGAAGAATTACCAACTTAGAAAAGAAAATAAATAACTACACTTGTAGTGAAAGAAGAAGTCACGGACCATGACATGATATGTGCTAAACAATTTCTCAGCGATATTCAAGACTTAGATTAACAGTTTCAAAGAATACACGAACAGGCTAGTGAACTTGCCCTTAATCTTGAAGATTCTGATTTAGTTGATAAGGATAATGAAGAATTAGAAATGCATGATGATCGAGTAAAAGAGAATAGCAGTAAGCTTATGTATTTTACTATGAGATCCAAACCAGATCCAAAAAGAAGTAATACCAGTCTCAATGCAAATAAAGATAGTGATGACAAGAAAAGGAAATTTATAGAACGAAAGTGGAAGCAATTAAACCAAGATATAAAAAGTGCAATCATTTTAGAAAGAGGAAACAGCCAAACAAAATACAGAAAAGCTAGATAAGCACGAACTAAATGAACATAAAGCTGAATTTTCAGAACTTATTAAATCGTTAGATCAATTGATAAGTGAGATTCAACAGTCAATCAGTGAACCTGACAATTTTCAAATCTATGACAATGGCAAAAACTGGACTGAGACCTGTGCCGAGATGTATAGTGAATTAGAGTCAAATCAAGAAAGTATAGCGTCCTTCATTAGTGAGCAACGTCAACAAGAAAAAGGAAAAAAAAGTAAAGGAACAAGAAAAACTACTAATACAACAAGAGGAAGAACGAAAACGATATGAAGCCGAAGTAGAAGTTAGAAACCAACAGCACCGAGATGAAATCAATAAACTTATTGAACACTTCTCCAGCTCCTGTTCTGAACGACAGAAAACCATTAGACTTCCTGAGTTAAACATTCCAACCTTTGATGGCGAATCAACCAACTGGAAATCATACTGGCAACAGTTCGAAGCTACAATTCATAAATCTACTAAACTCACTGACCAGTTGAGAATGCAATATCTTCTGAAATCACTTACAACTCAGAAGGCGAGGGATGCCATAGAAGGCATTGATGCAACAGCCGAAGTATACCCTGAAGCAATAGAAGCACTGAAAGCCCGCTTCGACAGACCAGAAGTCATTCATCGTGCTCATGTACGAGCCTTACTCAAACTAGGTATACCTCAAAGATGGATCCTCTTCAGAATTGAGAAATCTACACGATACTTTTCAACATCATCTTAGATCACTCAAAGCTTTAAAGAAACTGAATTTCGGACAGTTTATCACAGCACTTGGTGAAAGTAAGCTTGACCCCACTACCATGATTGAATGGCAAAAGTTCACTCAAGGTGAAACTGATGTTCCTGACTACGAAAAGTTCTTGGACTTCTTGGACCTAAGAGCTAAAGCAACTGAGTTAACAGTTCAACAGAAAAGGCCACCACAGTTTGGTGATAATAAAGGTAATAAGTTTAAGAATCTATCACAAGTTGCATCGCATGTTACCAACACAAGTGGCAAGTGTTTTGCATGTAACAAGTTGAAACATGGAACTGCCTATTGTCAAGTATTTAAGCAGAAATCTGTTCCAGAAAAACGGAACTTTGTACTTGCTCAGGGTATGTGTTTCAACTGTTTAAAGGGTGGGCATACAGTCAAGCAGTGTCCATCTCAATACATTTGTCAAAGGTGTGGCAAGAAGCATCATACACTTCTACATCTTGACGTAGAAAATCGACAGCCCATTTCACCCAATGTACCACCACCCAATGTACCACCACCCAATGTACCACCACCCAATGTACCACCACCCAATGTACCACCACCCAATGTACCACCACCCAATGTACCACCACCCAATGTACCACCACCAAGTTTATACCAGTTACTACCAGACAACCCCCCTCTAGTTCAACCTATTTCCCCAAACCCACCACAGCATCAAGTCAAAATCAGGTTAATTTGTCGACCCAAAGCTCATTAGCTTCAAACACAGCCCTAATGATGACAGCCAAAGTAATTGCATGTGGACCTCAGGGCCACCAAGCAGTCGCAAGAGTTTTATTATATCCTGCTTCAACAGCGTCTTTCATTACTGAGAGGCTAGCTAATCAGCTCCAGCTCCCAAAACAAGGGCAATCAATTTGCATCAATGGGATTGGAGAGACACAATGTATAAAAACACAAAATAAAGTGGTAGAAGTCAAATTAAAATCAGCTCATGATTCATCCTCATTAGAGAATTTGGATGCCATCGTTTTACCCTCATTAACGAAAAGTCTCCCTCTGCAGTCCATTTCAATTGGGAACTGGCCACATTTGGAATCACTGTCACTTGCAGATCCAAACTTCAACATTCCCAAGCCAATCAACATCTTGCTAGGTGTAGATGTTTACCATGAGATCTTGAAACCTGGTTTGATATTGGGACCAAAGGGAACTCCTGCTGCCCAAGACACAATCTTTGGATGGGTGCTCTTTGGCAACACCAGTCCAAAACCAGTTAACGAACCAACAATTGCTAGAGAAGCCACAACAATGTTTGTTACAACATCACAACTTTCGTGTGAAGAAATTCTTCAAAAAATTTGGACTTTAGAAGAAGCTCCAGAAATAAAGCAAACATTTTCACCAGTTGAAAAACTTGTAGTAGAAGATTTTACTGTTCATCACAAACGTGACAAAGATGGACGTTTCATTGTAAGACTGCCATTTAAGTCTGATGATAGTCCTCTTGGCGAGTCGTGACCTGAAGTGTTAAGGAGATTCTTGTCTCTCGAAAGATGTCTCCACAATCTAAAACTCTATGATGATTACTCAGCTGTAGTTAACAAATACTTATTGTCCAGACTTGCTGAAAAGGTTCCTGTCAGCGAACTTGACAAACCTCCTTCAGAAACATTTTACTTACCTCACCACACAGTTCACAAAGCTTCAACGACCACTCCAGTTCAAGTAGTGTTTGATGGGTCAATGAAAACCTCAAGTGGTGTTTCCTTAAACGACAATCTTCTTGTGGGTCCTACTGTCCATCCTCCCTTGAATGATGTGCTTATTCGATTTTGTTAACATCCCTACGTTCTCATCACCGACATCTCAAAGATGTATCGAGCAGTTTGGCTTAGATCCAAATTATTGGGATTTCCATCAATTTCTTTGGAGAGATAATCCAAATGAAGAGATGCAAGAGTATAGAATGACGAGAGTCACCTTTGGGATAACTAGTGCCCCATTCTTAGCCACTAAATCCATTTTGCAACTAGCAGAAAAAAATCAAGCAGCACTTCCTCAAGCTGCCAAAGCGGTAAAAGAATCTTTTATGTTGATGATCGTCTTCCCTCAGTCAAGACAAAGGAAGAAGCCAAAGTTCTTTACCAGCAATTACAACAACTCTTTCAGAAAGGTGCTTTTAAATTGCACAAATGGGACTCAAATTCACCCGAAGTCCTCAATGCCATTCCAAAGGAAATTCGAAGTGTCACAGCTACAGCGAATCTGCCTGAATCAGACAACTTTACCAAAACTCTTGGAATCGATTACAACTCGCAGCAAGATCAATTCCGATTCTCAGTGTCCAACTTTCCCACTGAAGAAACTGAACTTACTAAACGTTTAATATTATCAGATTCGGCCAAGATCTTCGATCCTCTCAGTCTTGTGTTGTGTGTTACTATCGTAGTAAAGATCATCTTCCAACGCTTGTGGGAACAAGGTATTGATTGGGACAGTCCGCTTCCTGCAGACATCGAAAGAGATTGAAAAGAGAGGAGAAATCAACTACCTGAACTTTCTTCACTGAGAATCCCACGTTGTTATGCTCCCATCAATCATCAAATCGTTGACAAACAGTTGATTGGGTTCTCTGATGCAAGCGAAAGAGCGTATTCTGCCATGGTCTATTTAAGAAGTGTCGACATGGCCAGCGGTGTACACATATCTCTCATAGAAGCCAAAACCAAGGTTGCTCCTATAAAGAAAGTATCGCTACCACGTCTTGAATTGTGCGGTGCCCATCTTCTAGCTCGTCTTGTAAAACATCTCAAAGCTGTCCTTGAAATTCCTACCAAAGATATCTACGCTTTTACGGACAGTACCATTGTATTGTATTGGATATATGGAACCAGTCAACGGCTGAAAACCTTTGAAGCAAATAGTCTCTGAAATCCAGGAAAGTTCACCTCCTGAGCGATGGAAACATGTCAAAGGAAATGAAAACCCTGCTGATGCCGGTTCTCATGGTATTCTCCCTAAAGATATTATCAATCATGATTTATGGTGGTCAGGACAGCATTGGTTAAAATCGGATCCGTCAACCTGGGAATCGAAATTAGTTATCCCTCGTCCCCTTGAAGCTGTGTTGACATCTGGCATCCGAGAAGAAGATTTAAAGTTAAAGGATAAAAGGGAAGTCTCAATGCCGGTAAACACAACAAACATTTTACCAAGGCCTGTAATCGACATCAATCGATACTCAAGCTTCATTCGCTTAATGAGAGTTACTGCGTTCATTCGCCGTGTAGTCACCAAAAAATACCTATTTACTTCAACGCCACTAACGGTTGATGAATTACACAAAGCTGAAACATGGTGGTTCAAGAAAGTACAGTCTGAAATGTTCTCTGAAGTCATCGCTGTACTTAAGAAAGGAAAACAACTATCCAATAAACACTATCAAAAATCTCTAAACCCATTTCACGACTCTGAGGTTTGCTGAGAGTTGGTGGATGCCTTTCACAATCACAACTAGAATTTGACTCATGTCACCCTTTAATTCTCCATGGAAAACATCGACTTACCACCTTGCTTGTCGAACATGAACACAAACGATTGTGCCATGCAGGACCTAAACTGGTCTTAGGAACACTTCAACAGCGCTATCATATTATCAGTGCTAGAAGGATTGTTCGAAAGTGCACTCATGAATGCGTTATCTGTCGGCGTACATCTCCAAAGGTTTCCACACAGCTAATGGGTCAACTCCCAAAAGAAAGAGTCAATCCATCATTCGCAAACGAAATGGTCTCAGTTGATTATGCTGGTCCTGTTTTCATCAAAGCCGGATCCAAACGAAGACCAATTTATCAAAAAGCGTACATTGCTATATTTGTCTGCTTGCAAACCAAATCCTGCCATATAGAACTAGTATCTGATTTAACAGCTGAAGCATTCGTCGCAGCACTACGTCGATTCGTGGCGAGACAAGGAAAACCATGTCAAATTTAGAGTGACAATGCAACATTTTTACTTGAGCAAATAAAGATCTCAAGGATTTTTATGACTACTTAAAGGAAGCAGAGACACAAGCGACTATTGCCAATTTTTGTTCTACACAAGGCATACAGTGGAAATTAAGCCCTCCTACAGGCCCTCATCATGGCTCAGTATGGGAAAACAGTGTCAAGGCATGCAAGTATCATCTCAAGAGGATTGTTGGTGAAACCAAACTGAACTTTGAAGAACTAACTACGTGTCTATGCCAAATCGAAGCCTGCTTGAACTCTAGACTGATTGCTGCTTCTATCGACAGTAACGACGATGATGGGATTGCTCTGTTAACTCCTGGTCATTTTTTAATTGGTAGACCATTGGAATCTCTTCCAGATCATCCCGATACAGTTAATAAACCGATGAAAGTACTAAAACGTTGGTACTTATGTCAAGCCCTAGTTCAACAATTTTTGGAAAAAATGGTATACCGAATATTTGAACTATTTGCAACGTTTCAACAAGTGGAACCATGAGAGAAGGAACTTATCTATTGGATTGTGGTCAAAGATGATCGTTTATTACCGTGCAAATGGCCTCTCGCCAGAGTAATAAAAGTTCAACCTGGTCCTGACAAGTTAGTGCATGTAGTAACTCTGCAGACTAAGCAAGGAACTTGTGTCAGACATAGTAAAGGTTTGTTTATTGTTGTTGCCCAAAGAACAACAAACTGACATTACAAAGGAATAGTACTGTAAATGGATGCATATGTAAGTTTATGTCTGTGTTAATGTTTTGTTGATGAATCAAGGCCGGCGGAATGGACACGCATCGAACTTCATATAAGAATAATTTAGTTAACATTACGTAATGCTTTTGCGCACATGCGCAGTGGAAAAAGGTTACTCGTGCTTGTAATCATGCTTTTAAACAAACTTAAGACATAATGTGAAATTTATATTAAAGAACACAAAACAACACAAAATATCTCTTCCTGCACTGTTGGCATATCTAGCTGGGAAGGCCAACCATGTTCATTCAGCAGCCACTCAGGACCGTCGAACCAATCTTTGTTCTCCATTTGGTTGAGCGTGGCTCCTCGTGTCTGCAACATTCTTCTCTGACGGCACATATTTCCATTGAATACCGATTCCCTCCGTTATTTCCGCGATCTTTTTCACTCTGTTTGCGACAAATACCTTCCATGATTTTCCGGGGCTTGAAATCCAGTAAAGAGCGACCAGGCTGTCCATCCAGATGGTAACTGATCTGATGGGCAGTCTCTTCAGAGCATTGACAAGATCATCAAGATAATCAATTCTGTTTTAATACTTTTATAGTTGAGCAGGATGATGAAAACAAAAGATCACCTAACGCACCTACAACTCTTGCAGCTACCAATGATGAAGATGACAAAATACCCACAATCAGTAAAAATAAATCTACTAGAAAAGGAAAACCCTCTTACCAATGCTATGAAGGAGCACAATACTTACATGCAAGAATCAGACAAAAAAATGTTGGCTGAAATGAAGGAACAGGCAGAGAAGGATAGAGAATTAAGGAAGGAAGAGCTGGGTGCCTTCAAGGATTCCATGGCACTTCTTGCAAGTGCCAGGAAGAGCTGGGTGCCTTCAAGGATTCCATGGCACTTCTTGCAAGTGCCATTGCAGGAAGAGCAAAACCAATAACACAACCAGCACCAGTCAATCAACCACCTTATTACCCCATTCCTTTGCAACATGATATAACTATTGACAACCAACAAACATACTTTAAGCTTTAACTGTGCTTAAAAATACTGTTACTGTTATATACACTTCAACAATTTTGTTAAGTACTTTTATGAAAACTTGTCTATTGACAAGAAGTTTGTGTTACCTTTAAATTTAAAGCTACTTTATGTAGCTGTTTAATGTTTGTGGAGCACTGTTACAATATATAGTCTATACATTAGTTATCATGGTTTATTTCAAATAAAGCATTTGGTTAATCCACTGCAGGAATACTGTTGGATGAAAAAACTTATGTCCAGGACATTATATATTATTCTAGGGATAACAGGCAAAATTTACACATTTCTTAGTGAGATTTCAACTGAACTTGGGAAGTAGAAAAATAACTTACTTAATAATTAATTAGTTTTGAAATACTCTCTTAATGAGTCTCTTATCACTTCTGCATTTGCATTATCTATTTGAACAGCCACATTAACAGTCTCATCATTATTAGCAATAGGAAGCATATCTGGAAGACTATCTGCCCTCATCTCACAGATATTATGAAGCACACAGCATGCTGCAACTTTAGTTGGAAGGTAATCCAAACATGTGTAGCTTTTACTGAGCAAGCATCTGTATCTATTCTTCAACCTTCCAAATGCACATTCGACTACTTGTCGTGCTCTGCTTAAACGATAATTGAAGTTCTTCTGATCTTGAGATAGATTACCATTGTTTGTATATCGCTTCATTAGCCAAGGCAGAAGTGGATATACTGGATCTCCAATTAACATAACTGGTACATCACACCCACTTATGTTTACTGTTATCTGAAAGATAACAAAATGTGGCATAAATATGTTGCATTTAAATAATAAAAAAATTATGATTTAACTCAAAAAGTTTCATACAACTTACATCCGGGAAAAGGAGCCCAGCTTCAGCCTTTCTAAAAATACCCGAATTTGCCAAAATTTGTGCATCATGAACCTTTCCGGGCCATTTGATGTTAATATCTGTAAATCTATAATAATTAACATGAAAAGCCAAGAATATGATGCTTGAAACTGTTGTGATGGAATGGATCATAATAAATAGAATGGATTGTTAAAGGAAAAATACTCTCTCACGTGAATGAAAAACTACTGAAAATAATAAAGAATGAAAAATATAACTAAACCAAGAGTAAACAAACGTCTTAATTCTACAGATTTCAGATTCTACAGATTGGTGTTCAGGTGTTGTTGTACCTGTATTTGTGATCAACCACAGCCTGCAGAACGATAGAGGAAAACCCCTTTCTATTATAGTAATCTGTTGATGATTGCGGTGGTGCAACAATGGGGATATGCGTGCCATCGATTGCTCCTGCATATTGGGGAAAACGCCAGATCTGGAGAAAACCATCAAGGACAGTGCGTAGCGCTCCACCAGTTGGCCATTTCAAGACTGTAGAGAGTAGAACATCTACAATTGCTTCGCAAACGTCATTCACAATTTCACAAGCTGTGCTCTTTCCAACACCAAAGCGCCATGCTAAAGAACGGAAATCTTCTCCAGTCGCCAAATGCCATAAGCAAATTGCAAATCTTTTTCGACAGATATAGCTTTTCGGAAGGTTGTGTCTTGACGCAAAAGATTACCAGATATCTTGTGACACACGAAATCGAAAGTTCCCCGAGACATTCAAAAGTTTTCAAGCCAAAGACTGTCCTCTTTCCAAAGAGCAACCATTCTATCCCAAAAAGACCCAATGTCTTTACTTTCTTGAACTCAAAACCGTCTTTCAGTGAATAATCGATTACCAAATGCTCGAAAATACAAAAATAACAAAGCTTCACGCTTTTTAGCGTTTCTTCTCAATTGATTTGTTATTTTTAAAAACTGCTTCCTAAAACGCACACGATTCCTTTCGATATTTTTCTCGTAATTAGCAATTATAGTAGCCAAAATGACAAAGATATATCTGCCGCCATCTTGTTTTGAAGAGCCGATCATATTTTGTTACGACGTTAGACGATGTGCTTCCGAAGAGATCCGTGCAAAAGAAAAATTGAAATGACTAACTAGGATCGATGTAGTGTGAATCTTCCAATAATACGTTTGAGATCGATCTGAGATTGACCTGAGATCGATCTGGCAAAATCGATCTCAGGTCGATCTTAGTGTGAACAGGCCCTTTGAGAGATTTTTTAAAAAAACGGAAGAAATTGATTATGTCTTTATAAACACATAGTTACAAATCCTTCAAAACTTACAATTTATCCTTCATCTAGGCAAATTTCTTACTGTGATCAAAGAAACTTTGATAGTGTACACCACCCAATTAAAAAGAAATCAAAACTTTATACAATATATTTATCAACTTGAAACACAGCAAAAAAGAATAACTCTATGTTACTATAACTGTTTGACTAATGCAAACATGACAGAAGTGATCTTGTGTGCTATAATGCACAAACCACAAACACTGATTTGTAGTCCATATATAAAATATCAACAACTTTAACACAAATGTTTAACTCATGCAAACACAACAGAAGTGGTCTCATGTCCTAATGCACAAACCACAAACAGTGTGCTACTTTATAGCAACTCATAGTCCACATATGAAATGTCAACAACTTTAACATTGCTTTTAAATGTCAATAACCTCAACATCGATTACTTTATTGCTCTGGCTGTCATATGAAATAACAATGCTGTCCAACATCAAAATGCCTTCCACCAGCTCGTTCTCCGACATATCTTCCTCAAGACCACAAAAATGTTGGAACTTTTTTACCACATCGTTAAAGACAGACAGGCGAACCTTCTCTTCAGGGTGATCAACACTCTCGGCATAAAACGTAGGTACCACTGACACTTGCAACGAGTGGCTTTTTGTGACATCTTACAGCTTTCACAGTATGCCAGCTTACCCTTCATGATCACCTTCTTGCCACAAGAACAACAACATTGGCTCTTTGTTGCATTTGTAATGCCCAGGATATTTGCTGTCAACTCTTTAATGGTTGACACTACTTCAACAGTGGGAAGGCTTTCTGTAAAGGATTCGACTGGAGTTATAATGCAGTCATCTTCCTTCTTTGGCGTGTTTAGATATCTCTCATCTCTTGACACTCTAACTCTCACTTTCTTAAAAATGTATGTTGCATCATCTTGGATTGTATCAGTGTGGCTACCCCAAAGTATCAACTTCATAAATCCGGACGGATCAGAAAGATAACATTGCTGCTTTCGTACTGGGCCTCCTTGCAGGACGACACTTTTTGTTGGTGACAAGTGCGTTACGCAGGCCTTTATGGCTACCAGTTGGTCTGGTGCAACTTCTGACAACGAGGCAATTGAAATGTTTTTGTCCAAACTTGTGTAGTCGAAGGCAACTGTTGTTGGGATGAGGCACGTTTTTTTGTCAATGACAATATCTTGTCTTCCATACTTTGTGCTGATGTTATACTTTTTTAGTTTGACAGGTGATTTTTGTGGTGCAACAGCTTCTAGAGTTTTCCCTTTTTCAGTTGAAAAACATACACTTTAACCACAGCGGACTCTGTCTGGATGTCACAATTGATGTACTCTGTTGCACCCGATCTCTTGAGAGGCGAAACAGAATGGATAAAGCAATCGATATCTGGCAATTCTAAAAAAAGGGGGAAATCAGTTTTTGTTTTAGTTCGTAGAATATATTAGGGCCACTGTCATGTTATTTTACTAAAAATGTCTGTAAATTTGAAAACATTGTAAATGGACTTTATATAGTAATGTCTTATGATAGAAGGGTCATATAGAACAGATTTAAACTTTCATGCAAGATGCAAGACGATGTTTTCCTAAAAATTGACCTGAAAGCTAAATTTGAAAAAGTGTCTGCTAGACTGCCAAGTACAATTTGTCAATTATAAATTTTAATAAAACCCAACTTTAATCCTCGCTTACTTTTCACTATCCGGACTTCTGTACATGCTTCTTGCATTTCTTTTGTGCTTACAACCATTCTTTTTCAGTTTCATGCAAAATGCACGAGTGCCAAAATGTATAATAAAAATTGAGTGACACTACCTGCTATAAACTGACTGCCCCCATCACTACTGAAAGCTCATGAATCATAGCAACAAGTATAAAAGAAAACAGATTCTATATTTACCTTCTCTTTTAGCCATTTTTCTCCAAAAAAATGTGAAAATTATTTAAGTTTTCAAAGTAAAAACTACAAGCTTCGTAAAGAGCACAACGTTCTGTTCACCAGCACAGTTGTAGTCGAATGACAATTGCTTTGCGTAGCTGTCCATTTTATAATGATACCAACCACACCTCTCACCCCTCTCGCAAGCTTTTCGTGCTCTATTTTCAGTATGGCGCCAAGCTAATAATATTAAGAGTTTTAATCTTTGTAATGGCTTAACACCTTCGCCATGTCTAGTTCTTGCTTATACAAACACCTTAGATAAGGCAATTTTACTCTGATAAATTATATTACATAAATTCCTTATTTTCTTCGCAAATATTTTGTTTTATGCAATGTGATTCACCTCAATATTACAAACTACCTACCGCCAATGTAGACACTGAATAATGCAGGAATTCTTTTTCTGCAGCTTCTTTTTCTGGGTATATGTTCAATAGCAAAGATTAAAACAATTGGGGATAATTTGGCTAGGAGTAACATTTCTCCTAGCCGATTTATTGAAATTAAATCAATTCAGCGGTTAGTAATATATACATAATAAAACAATAATTAATAATATATATGTATGAAAATATTAACAATTTTGCGCAGAAAAGGGTGGAATCAGATTATCGCCAAATCATCGAAGCAAAACTGAGATGAAACCCCCACCCCAAGGAAAAGAATGCACGCTGATCCGGCGAGATTTACGGGCCACAAAGGCAACCAAGTAGTTTCTATAAGCAAAAAGTAGAACTGTAGTCGCCCTTGCAGACTACGGCAAGCAAAATTTGTCATGCAATGTTACTAAGCCTAAGTTTTTCACGGATATAATATTTCCACACCAGTCTTCCATTGAATTAGACATTGGATTGCCTTGTCTCTCCTTACTAAACAGGGAGATGAAATTGCGAAGTACCCAGGTCAATTGCACAATATGCTCTAATACCATAATGACATAACCCTTGCTGATGACATATAGGTGCAATGCGAGTTATGCAACCAAAGAGTGCTGACAGATTGCCCTTGCTAATCACGCTCAAAATCATCTTCACATGGAAAATTGCAGGTAAAATTGAGGATAAAACACCCCGCATGTTTTATGTTCATAAATCCCTTGAAGGTGAAATGGGGTTATGTCGATATAGTAGTAGAAATTCGCAAATATTTTAGAAACGCATTCGATTTTCAACGCCCCAATGCACGGATTTGCGCATCAGAATAACCATTTTCTGCAGCGTGGGAAGCTGTCCCAATCCGAAAGGATTATAGTTTGAGGTATCCAAACCACAATGACGAAAAGCCGTTTTAATTAAGTTGAGTGGCGAATTCGTCACACGATATTGGAGTACCGAGGTGTGAAACAAAAAATATCCCCCGGCAGAGTGCCGCGCAAAACCAGAGAGTGAAGGATCAATTGCTCAGGGCAAGCTGTGTTTTGCCGATAAATTTCTAAAGTAAAAGGCCGCTGGTTGTAATTATGTTTAAAATGTGTTGTGCGTTAATTTTGCCTTTCAGCTGGAGATAGCGTCGCAGCTCTATTTAGTTTAAAGGAACTCTCTCAGTTGGCTATTGTAAGCCCAGTGAACTCTAACCTCTACGTCATGTGCTTGAGATCGCCTATACATTACTGTGGTTCTGTGCAAACAGTTACAACTTTAAAAAGTCGCTCTTGACATTGTACAGTGTCTAGATTATCTGATATCGGAAGACACAGTGCCCCCAAAATGGGGGCCGATATTGGGCCTCTGAGAAAGGCTATGATAAAATACAAATTACATATCTGCACTCCATGGCTTATTTTAGACTCTGCAAGTAAGGCTACTTGTGATCGTGACTGCAAAGTTTGATAAAATGCCTATATGCTCTGTAGGCAGTACTTCACTTGCAGTAGTAACTCCTAGTATAATGTCTAATTTCCATAAAGTAAACTGTGGTATACCCCAAGGAACTGTTTTGGGCCCCCTCTTATTTATTTTATAATATCAACGATTTTCATGAATGCTCAGATCTATTTGATTTCCATCACTTTGCTGATGATTCCAATTTATTTTATGAAAACAAGAACATATCAGTGCTAGAATCTAATATTAACAAAGAGTTGGATAACATCCACGTCTGGTTATGTGCAAATAAATTATCCCTAAACATTGAAAAATCAAATTTTGTTATCTTTCATCCTTACCAAAAAAAACCTGACATAGACATAAATCTTAGTATTTCTGGTAGATACCTTAAAAAGGTTGATCATACTAAATATCTTGGTGTTTTTATTGATTCCCACCTGTCTTGGAAATACCAGATCAGCCATATTGCAAAACAAATTAGAAGAGGTATTGGTATTCTTTCCAAAGTTTGTTACTTAGTAAATACTGATATCTTTGTAAAGTTGTATTATGCCAATTATATACCCTTTTTTACTCTATGCTTTAATAATCTGGGGAAACACGTACCCAACTACACTTAAACCACTAGTTGTGCTACAAAACAAAGCCATTTGCATTATAACTTTTTGTCCGTTTGATGAACATTCCAGTCCAATCTTTAAGCGCCTTCGACCCATAAAGTTAAGTGATCTGATCACATTATTAATGACAATGTTCATGTATAAATTTCATAATTGCCTTCTGCCTTTAAATTTCAACGATTACTTCGCACCTGTGCATCAATTACATTCATATGATACAAGACTTGCGTCGGGACTTTGTTTATCATTACCTAAACCCAGGACAAATTTTGGTTTATTTAACATTAGATATCGGGGTGTCAAGGTGTGGAATGCACTCAGCGATTTTGACAAAAGATTGTCATTCACTCAGCTCAAACGAAAACTTAAAGCTAATTTTGTTGATTCGTACTAACATTTAAAAAAAAATTGAGAAAGTAGTTTTTTATATCATTTCTTTCTTTCTTTTCTTTTCTTTTTGGTTCTTAATATCTTGCTGCATTAATTCCTTTTATTATTATTCGGTATCTTTGGCCTTCAGCTCTGATTAGCCTATTGGTTATTTTGGAGAGCCTGCTTCACTGTATTTAGAATTATACTAAGTAACTAATGAATGATTGTAAAATTGTAGTGAACCAATATAACTAACTTCTGATATGCCATGCTAAAACATCTTTTGGCAATAGATATACTCTACTCATTTTATACAGTGTTTAGTATTTTTACACAAGTGACTATAAGAAATCTGACATGGTGATTGGTAAAATTTGACATGATATTCCCTTAGGTGAACATAACAGTAAAAACTATTTTACAAAATGGTGACTAGCTGTTTTGGATAAAGAAATAAGTGAAATTAAAATAAATTCAGTCCCAAATATTAATTATTAAAACAAGTTGATGTATTCACAGAAGGCGAGATGATTATCAGAGAATATTCAGCTTGACTTCGGCTTTGTGAATATTCCCTTATAATCCCCTTGCTGTCGGCGAATAATTATTAATTGTTTATATTATCTTTATTATGTTCATTTGGGCCATAGACGAATTTTATAGGGTGCACCTCCCAGACCCCTGCTGCAGCTTGCTCAGACGCACAATGCACCCTGTCACTTGCCTCTTCCCCCCATAAATGTTTGCCACCCCCCCTAAATTTTCGACCCCCGCCCCATCAAAATCTGATAATCCGTCTATATTCATTCCATTAAATTTTTTTTGTGGGTGTTCGTTATATTGGTACCTAGCATGTAAAGGCCTTGTTTTTTTATGCCAAACCACAGAGGCCCAGGCTCGATTTGCCCGTGCCCGCCTGTGCCTTCCTTATAACGAGGCTCTGATAACGAGGGAAGGACGGAGACATTGAGACCAAAATAGCCCAGACTTGACATATGTCACACGAAACTATTCTCGATTTTTCGCTTTTAATGCACTTCTTTCACGATTAAGAGCATTTGTCTCTAAAAACCGCCCACTGACTTTGGGCTCGAAAAATAAATTTCTTCGAAACTTTTACCGTGAACTACATTTGCTTTAACAACAAACAGATGCTGTTTGGAATTTTCAAAATATATTTAGTTTCAAAGTTTTAGCGATTTTTTGGTCTCGCACCGTCGCGGGAGAAATTTGCCGGCTAATTAAACGATAAAAATTGGCTGAATTTAAATAAACATAACTTCAAAAGTTTTTGTTCAAAATTTCTGACATTCACACCCAGCACCGGAAAACTATCGTAATTTCATCTGAACTAACTTAGGTTTTCAATTACAGAGTATTTGTGACAATATTTAGTGACAAAGAGCGCCATGTCAAAATACGGCTTTCAAATCTTACTATTTTCTACGCTGAATTTCTTAAAAGTGGGACCTAATTACATACAGTGACTAGTATAGTTGGAAAAAGGACACTTTGAAGTACTAAAAACCGTAATAAAACTCGTCTGCAAACACGATTTGAACAATTGGGAGCGTTTGAAATTTGATACTATTTATGGCCTTTTGTTTACATTAGAATGTTGCTGAGGCCGGACGTCTGAGTTCGTGTCACTGCTAAAAATGCGCTGTAGTTCTGCCAAATAACATTTTCTCATTGCCCTTCTCTCAAAACAAATCGATAATGTCATAGTACTAAATTAGATTTCGTTGTTTATCTTACAAGATATTTAAATAGATGATATTAAACATATAAAATTGAATCACGGTAAACACTTGCAAAAAATGTCGCCCGGGGAAAACCCAACAAAAACACTTGCAAAAAATGTCGCCCGGGAAAACCCGACAAAAGCTTTTGTTTTGTATCAAACTATTACCTTTCCGGTAATCACGTCACAACTGCATGGAAGTGAGGCTGAGGGGCCAAAGCCTTTGGCCCCTCAGCCTCACTTCTACGCAAATTAACAATGCGAATATATATCTCTAATTTGGACTATATTTATCACTTACGAGAACCAACTTGTGCAAAGTACTCCATAAATTTGGAATACATCCCTTGATACTTCCAGGTTAATGACCTCTTTTCCTTTGCAGCAATGTGCAGGTGCAGTGTGAGAAGGATGTTCGCATGTTAGACGAGATCTCCAGTATCGGCCCAAGTTGTACTGGTGGTTTGGGCATACTGTCATAGAGCGTATTTCTTCGCTTGATATTTCATGTAAAAATCCCGCTCTTCTCAAAATCAGCTCGCGCTCGCTAAAACCAGATCTCGACAAACGGCAACTTGAAAGATGGTTTTGAATGTTCTCATCACAATCTTCTAAGCGTCTAATACCCGATTCACCCCAACACCCTCCGCATACAGTTGAACCGATAGCATTAAAAGAACACAATTTTGCAGCAATATAATTCAAAGATCAACTTCGCACAAAGGTTCCACAACAAAACTTTATCGTTTATAGATTTTTCGAACTAAGCAATAGTTTAGGGGCGGACCATGAATTTTTTTTTGGGGGGGGTTTGGAAGATTCAGTCTGTGCAAGAATTTTGTTTCGACCCAGGGGAATTTCCTGTAAAAGTGCAGCGCAAGATTTTTTTCCCAATGTATTTCGCGGCAGGATATTTTTTTTGCCTCTAATAATAACGGCGTACAGTAACTTAAGAGGCTGTCTCTGTAAGAACCGGGCACCCAGTTCTGGAAGGAAATATGAAAGTCTTCAAAATATTCAGAATAATTTTCCTTTCAGGTACTTGTATGAAAAAAGAAATTGGTTTGCGTTAAAAAGCTTTTTTGTAAAATTTGGCCCATCGATATTTTACACCGTGACGGGTCCAAAATGGCAGCCTGAAACTGCCGTAAATAGCAGATTTTCGTACGACTCTCGCGAAGCAGGCAAGTAAGTGAGAGTCTTATGTATCAAAATGTTTTAACAATTAGTGCTTATAGTTTCTTACAACAAAAAATCAGGAACATCTATCCAGGATTTGAGGAGAAATAATTTTCTGCAAAGATACACTTTTACTAGTTTGCAAAGTCACACATTATAAGACAAATTAAATAGCAATTTTCTTAAGTTTGGCACCTTATACCAAGTACACATTACTACCATTGTAAACCTAGAGTTGTGTTTTTTTAACGGGAAACGTAAAATATTTGGGCACTTGACGGGCACAGCCACAAATCATCTACAAAGTTTGATAATTTTCCTGTAATTGACGAGTGACGGCGCATGCGTTGCTAACGTAATTTTTCTTGAAAACCCTCACCCAGCAACATTGCTTGAAAAAACAACTTTAAAGTCAACTTTTATTTTGCTTTTGTTTATTAAACGTTTCGCAATTAATACGCAAATATTTTTTCTGTTGCGCTTGGTCATTTATTTTTGTATTTATTTTTACCGGTGGTTCCATGTTCATTGCAGGGGCGTGCTCAAGTTATGAATATCTTGAATCGATTTGCAAACGGATTGAAATATCGATCGGCGAATACAGGCATTTGTTTAAACTGTAAAACTTGTAACAATCTTTATATCCTTTCATAAACAAAGATTACTGTTCTGCAATTAAGTTGCTATATTAAATAAATGTAAAAATTTATGCTACATGCTAATTAGGTCGAGCATTGTCAGAAACCGAAAGTGTCAATTTCTCTGATGAATATTTTGACGCTGGGTATATCAATAAACAATTGCTTTCTTATTAATAATAATAATTATAAACGCACGCCAATGTTATATATTCCACCAACTTTTGGCATTCTCTTGAAAGTTTTAGTGACTTGAAGATTAATATTTGGCTTTCATGCGGATTCGGTTTTAAGATGTTTTCCATGTGTTCATTTTCCACTCGTATAAAATCTGAATGCGGCAGTCATTTGTGAGTGTGGAGAATGTTACTGTATGTTGACAAATGTAAAGACGATATTCGCGGGCGTCTTTCAAGCTGCCACTTGTCTTGGGAAAATATCGAAGAGTATGAATTAATCTTAGCCAGGGCTGGATTGTTTGATATCCCGGAGTCAACTGGAGAAGATGAGGGTTTGCCCTCGTCACGCATTGGGGAAGGAATAGCGTCCTCTTCGCTTGTGTCAGTATCCAACTCATCTATCCAAAAAGAAAAAAGTGCAAGGTTCCCATGTTGTTCAGCTAAAGCTTGCAAAAGAAATCCATAAAATAGGACTGTATAGGGTTGTAGAGCGGTATAGAGTTTTAGAGCTGTAGAGCTTTAGAGCTAGTTGTAGAGTTTTTAGAGTTGTAGAGTTGTAGAGCTCTAGAGTTGTATAGAGTTGTAGGGCTGTAGAGTTGTAGGGCTCTAGAGTTCTAAGGCTGCAGAGTTGTAGGGCTGTAGAGCTGTAGCGTTGTAAAAGCGCAGGGCTGTAGAGTTGTAGGGCTGTAGACTGAGCTGTAGTGTTGCAGAGCTGTAGGGCTGCAGAGTTCTAGAGCTGTCGGGCTGTAGAGTTCTAGAGCTGTAGAGTTGTAGGGCTGCAGCTTTGTTGCCACGAATAGTGCCATGATTACAATTTTCAATTTGTACTTCAGACAATAAGAATATAATATAGGCGTGTGTTTATAAGAGGTGAATATTCCCCGATAATCACTGAGCCTGAGGCAAACAATTGTTTTAGTATTTTTACACAAGCCTTATGTGTTTTTAGGACTGAATTTATTTTAATTTCGCTTATTTCTTTATCAGTAACTTCCACAAAACGGCTAGCCGCCATTTTGTAAATTTCGGTTTTGTTATATATACCTGTAGGTGAATATAACAGCTTAATACGTCACATTTGACATAGATAGATAGATAGATAGAAAAACTTTATTTACCCACGCTAACCCTGTCAACCGAAGCTGATTTTCACAGCGGGCGTGTAAAAAGCGATTGTTTATTCATTGATATATACCCCACGTCAAAATGTTCAGCAAAGAAATTGACATCTTCCGGTTTCTGACAATGCTCAACTAATTAGCACGTAGCATAAATTTTTACATTTATTTAATACATAGCAACTTAATTGCAGAATTGTAATCTTTGTTTATGAAAGGATATAAAGATTGTTACAAGTTTTACAGTTTAAACAAATGCCTGTATTCGCCGATCGATATTTCAAGCCGTTTGCTAATCGATTCAAGATAACTTGAGCACGCCCCTGCAATGAACATGGAACCACCGGTAAAAATAAATACAAAAATAAATACAAAAATAAATGACCAAGCGCGACAGAAAAAATATTTGCGTATTAATTGCGAAACGTTTAATAAACAAAAGCAAAATAAAAGTTGACTTTAAAGTTGTTTTTTCAAGCAATGTTGCTGGGTGAGGGTTTTCAAGAAAAATTACGTTAGCAACGCATGCGTCGTCACTCGCCAATTACAGGAAAATTGTCAAACTTTGTAGATGATTTGTGGCTGTGCCCGTCAAGTGCCCAAATATTTTACGTTTCCCGTTAAAAAAACACACCTCTAGGTTTACAATGGTAGTAATGTGTACTTGGTATAAGGTGCCAAACTTAAGAAAATTGCTATTTAATTTGTCTTATAATGTGTGACTTTGCAAACTAGTAAAAGTGTATCTTTTCAGAAAATTATTTCTCCTCAAATCCTGGATAGATATTCCTGATTTTTTGTTGTAAGAAACTATAAGCACTGATTGTTAAAATATTTTGATACATTAGACTCTCACTTACCTGCTTGCTTCGCGAAAGTCGTACGAAAATCTGCTATTTACGGCAGTTTCAGGCCGCCATTTTGGACCTGTCACGGTGTAAAATATCGATGGCCGAAATTTTACAAAAAAAGCTTTTTAACACAAACCGATTTCTTTTTTCATACAAGTACCTGAAAGGAAAATTATTCTGAAAAATTTGAAGACTTTCATATTTCCTTCCAGAACTTGGTGCCCGGTTCTTACAGAGACAGCCTCTTAAGAGGCTGTCTCTCTAAGAACCGACCAGTGGCTTTCAAGCAAAAAAATGATTTTCGCTTCTATTTTGCCCACGTGTTGTGTTTTCCTTAGCAACATTTTTGCCGGTTTTAGAATTTTTAAATTCTATTTTATTTTCGAGTTTTAGCTTATTATAACATCCATGCCGGCGTGAGCGGGATTCGAAACGAAGCGCCGCCCATAAATCCCCGGTAAATCTCTCGTCATATCTCGGGAAGTTTTGCATCAAATTCAACAATTCCTTCAGATATATAAACCAGAACTATTCTCAATTGAAAACCTCGTATCAATGTAAGAGTCAACAATAATTTTAAGTATATTTCTTCTTCTTTAGCGAACGTAGTAATTTGTCGTTTAATCCTTCGCCGCATAGTTCGTAATTATAATCGAAAATTTTTCGAAAGTGGCACCTATCTGGACTTTGAAATACATTTAGAGTGAAAAAGCACTCTTTGAAGTTAAATGATCGACAATAAAACTTGCCGGCAAAAGAAAATTGAATGAGAACAAAACGCTATAATACGAGCTATTTTTAGTTGGTTTGTTTACCTGTTCATGTGCGAAAGTCCCTTTGATGTTTACAGCAAGGCAGTTACAAGTCACATTGTAGCTTACAAACTTGTAATTTATAGTCAAAAACGAACAATTAATGTTGTTCTTTTGTGTTAGAAGTGATCCTGCTTCTTCTAGGCTCGTTTAATCCAGTAAACTTGAATTTGAGTTGAAGTTAATAGCTCATGCCTGCTTGCGGCGACAAACAGACGTTATTAAATAAAAGTTAATATTTAATATTAAACTAAACACACCGCGCGGACGCGATTCCACAACGCGATGCGATTTTTTAGTTTTTGAAAGTTAATAAAACAGCCAATGAGAGCAAATTTCGAAAGATATGTAGAGCAAATAACTCAAAATGTTATACCGTTTCTAAATATTTGGAAAATTTAAAATTAAACTAGAACCAAAGTTATCGGTCCGTGAAAATCGAAAAATCGCGTCGCCTTGTCGAATCGCGTCCTGTTTGTTTGGACCTTAATGTGCGTAAACTCTTCACTGATGTTTTTGCCAGAAAATAAACATCTCTACCAATATTAAATCGGCTGCAGTCTTGTGATAATTCTTGTGGTTTTATGTACATAGTGGCAGGCTACAACATGGGCATTTATCCAACATGTTTGAGATAGTATTGATTAGATCTTGCTTTTTGTCTTTCGACTTGAATCCGAGCTCAAAATGTGAGCAAATTTCCTTTAGCATCGGAACCTTAAATCCCGAAAGTTTGTCTTGTTTGTGCAATTCACACAAGTCGTACGCATCGTAGTAGATCGGGTGGGCCACGTTCAATTCATTACTGATCAAATTCAGCAAATACGCTCGTTTTTCATTTTCTTCTGCATCGTCAGTATCGCTTTCATAGTTATCGACCTCAATTTCTTCCTCAATATCTGTGCTTATCACACCTTTGCGTCGCTTTTTAGCAAGCCTCGAGAAAAAACCTTTGATCTGCTCTTTGTTGAGCCACTCGGCTGCCTTGAATAATTTTTCTCCCCCTTCATCCTTTGCACATCTCATATCTTTAGCCACCTGCGCTGGGTCTGATTTATGACCTGTTCGCTCACCATAATCAAATTTCGCAGTCAAATACTTGCAGACATCTGGAGAAAAACGCGCAGAGCCAGTTTTCGGTTTACTGAGAGCCCATCCCATCCTTGAAGAGGATTCTCTGCATTCTAAAGTTTGATGTTGTTTCGGTCCCTGGCCCTGGACATTTCTTGAGCTTAACGTTGTGAATTGTTTTGCCCACTCTCTTTTTAACGCATCATACACGCTCTCGCTGTTGATAAAGCGACTATGCTGGCCCAGGTCCATGTGAAGCTCTAAGCTCTGAATTGTTTCAAACACGTGGTTGCAACCAGGCTCAGCACAATCAAACAAACCAGCACTGTCTGCGTTTGAATTATCATCATGGTTTTCATTTCTTTTCAGTTTCGTTTGCCTAGTCTGCTGTACAGCGGGAAAGTTGACTGACACTTGCAATTCTGTACTCTTTTGTCGGCTAATGTAGATATCTTTATCCAATAGTTTCTTTCCCTTTCCAATGCCATGTGCTTTCCACACCCTTATCCCTGCTTCTTCATACTGGAAATTGTGATAACTGCTGAAGTCCTTAATTTTCTTTACACTGAGCTGCTCAGCAGAGGCTTTGACTTCATTGACTGATGATGTTGTTCCTTTAACTGGACGGCAATTCAGTGCAGTATGCATGTCTTGAGCTGTAAGGATATCATTTCCTTCATTGCAGTATCGGCGGATTGATGACTTCAGGGGGCAGATGATCCTATCACAAATATCCTTACCTTGTTGAGGTTCTGAGAAATCATAGCTTTGGACACAAATTCCAACGCGATTTCCAATATCTTTCAAAGATGCTACCAGAAGGTTGTTGTGGTAACATCCTGCCTCATCAGAACGAATGTAAGCTTTGCTGATATTTGCCATGCTGGACTTGATAGTTGATAGCAGGTTTTCGAGAATTGATGCAACGGCAAACCAGTCTTGAGTGGTGGAATCGAATAAATGAACATATGATGTAACCACTGCAGTGTCCGAGGATACGCCCTTCGATACGACGCTGCTTACATGCCAACATAGCCCACGTTTGCCATACCAGTCAGATTGTTTTTCTCGAAAACGTATCTACTGAAACTTCATCGCCCAGTCAATAACAATTAACACTGATGTTTCGTCCAGGCTTTCCAGTATTTCCTTCTTTGCATTTTCCTGATTTATCGAACGGAGAATATGGGCCTTCCATTTGCTGATTCTGTCTTTAGCTTCTTCAAAGTCGTGGATGAGCTCTTCTTTTATATCTTGAGTATATGAAAAATGTGTGTTGCTTTTCAGCTTGTTTTCTAGTTCCTGTAAAGTAGATTTGAGGTTCTCACAGTTATCACAAACCAGCGTATGTTCGTGTGCACACTTTACTTGAAAAGCTTCATCTCCTGGATCACTTAACGCAAACATTGTACAGTGATCAGCACATAAACTATCATCCTCTTGGCAATGTACCTTATAATCTGTTTTGAGGTATTCTTTTGCTTTATGTAACCTTT